AGCCTACAAACCCGCCCCAGCATACAAGCTCGCCCCTGCTTACAAGCCCGCTCCTGCTTATGCCTAAATAAGAAAAAATATGAATATATCAACGGTGCATATTTATTAAACGAAACTCTTATCACCATTTATCTGTACTATCTAACCTAAAAACAAATAAGTTGCGGGTATAATTCGGCAAAGAATTTTACTAAACAGAAATATCATGCTGAGGAGTGGATCTCAAAACGTGAAATACGGGACTTTCCAAAGCCTGCTCCTGCCTACGAGCATGCCCTTGCTTACAAGCCTGCTCCTGCTACAAAACTGCCCCTGCTTATAGGACTGTCCTTGCTTACAAGCCTGCCCTGCCTATGCCTAAAGGAAATAAATATGAACATATTTATGGTAAGTATTTAGTTCAGGAAAATAACCTGAAAATAAAGTTGGTGTACGCTGCAAATTTTGCTAGAGGTAGTCATCATAGTTTTACAAATTGTTGTACCAAACTTGTACTACACTTCTTTAAATCATCAGAATAACAACAAACTTCGAAACTTAAGAATGGCAGTCAGTATACAGCATGTTCAAATTATGATGCAGAAGAGTGCATCTCAAAACAGGAAATAAGAGTCGTTTGAACAATAATGCAAAAATATTCCATAAATGCATAATCATTTCTCCGAATCTTCAAAGAATGACCAGATTTTCTTTTTGAGATATCCCTACTTTCCCTGTTCTCCCTAATCCCTAAAAGCAGCCTTTCACAGATGCAAGTAGTACACAATGTTGCGGGAGATTACATCATGAAATGGGGATTGAATATTTCTAAAATACTGTGCTCGAACATTTTATTTTCCTTGTCAAATGGGGAATTATACCACAATTGTTGTTTGTTTGTTTGTTTTTAGATTATAGTGCGCTTGCACTGGTAAACAGTAAAAAAGCACAGTGAAATTATGTAATGATGCCATTTGTAAATGAAGAGATTTTGTGTATACGTAAGGCATAGTCTGTAAAGAATAACACGAGATGTTGAATTAACATTTTCAGATGCACAAAACAGCAGGATAACCTTTGACACATTAAACGTTTTTATTTAAACAATGTCCATTTTAAAACACCTGGTATTAGTAGGCCAGATAACATACACTGAACATGGAATGATGGCATATTCCGTGATCAGAAACGTTTTTCACACATGAATATGCCGAAGGACTCCAGCATAATTTTGTGTTTCCTAGATTTCCCTTTCCTTGCATTTCTAGATTGTTAAATGTCATTCAGGTAAGAGCGGCGCGTTGAGCGATGAGATTCTTCAAGATACTTTAGACTTGAACCATTCGTAAAACAGAAGCCCTAAATTTGCATTGTCGTATGGTTGAGGAAACAATAATCAATCATTTACACATACACGCGCGCACACACACACATACACATATACATACATATATACAAATATGTATGTGTGTATATGTGTTCATAGATGTGTATAATATATATATTTGTATATGTAGTATATATACAGTATATACATACATATATGCTCTGGTTAGCATCATTCTGGGAAGTGCTCAGGGAAACTTATACTAGACAAAAAATCTACATTCATACATTAAAAAGTGAATGATGATAGAATGTTTGTTTAATAAATATCTACCATTAATATATATCAATATATACCTGTTTCGTTTATGCATAGGTAGGAGCAGGATTGCAGGCAGGAGCAGGCTTGTACTCGGGATACTAAGCCTCATCCTAGTAACTAACCTCAGCCACGTAGCCGGAGTCGCCGTTAACCCATTGGTTACGGGTCAAGAAAACAAAACAAAAACAAAAAATCTACGCTAGTAGGATCCCTGAGTATCGTATCCGTTGCTGGCCACCTGGTGACCGAAGACGTTTACGGAATAGTCGTCTTTAACAGCGTAGTTAAAGTACTTAGTCGGATCCTGAAGGAAATCAGTGTGTTGAATGCAAATACTAGGAATAGTTTATTCATGGTTAAGATGCTGAGCTTTGATTATATTTGAGTTTTTCTTACATCATAGGTAGCGGGAGGAGCATATCCATAGGAAATTGTGAAGGAGCAGCCAAAGTGACGGCCACAAGGGCGAGAGCCTGTATGAGAGCGAAAGGCAGATAAACATTTGAATTCATATAACGTATAAACTGACCAGATAAGCATCGTACCTTAATTACACGCATACTATAGAGGCCATCTTCATTCATATATCGTACAAACGGAAACTACTCCCGTCCGGACTGATTGAAATAAAGGTCAGTAGAGGCGAAAAGGGAGGGGCTTGGTATTCCAAGTATCACATTCAATCTACCTTTACCATCATGTTCACTAAGGTGAGTGCATTTCAGGTTGCACAATTTAAAATAGTTTTCATCATTGTTGTAAATACACTTACATATATAACCACGCACACATATGTATGTGTATAAATGTGTGTATAGTTCGTAAAAGTAATTATTTACATTTGTTCAGCCTTTTATATTTAATTTCAGGCCGTCATCGTGCTCGCCCTTGTGGCCGTCACCTTGGCTGCTCCCCCTGCAACTTATGACGCAAGGAAAACTTGCATATGCCAATGTCTATATAAGTATTTCATTATCAAACCATTTTCATTATATTCGAGTCTAATTTTACTTTTCTTTAGGCCCCCGCCAAGTGCGACTTTAACTACGCCGTTAAAGACGACTATTCCGGAAACGACTTCTTACTACGTCCTTCTTCCCGACGGTCGTCTGCAGAAGGTCGCCTACACTGTCAACGGCGACTCTGGCTACGTAGCCGAAGTCAGCTATGAGGGTGAGGCCCAATACCCCGAATATAAGCCTGCTCCTACCTACAAGCCTGCCCCAGCCTATACACCCGCCCCTACTTATGATTAAATGGCTATGGATATATTTATGATAAACATAATTTATTGAACATAAATTCCATCACTATATACTTGTATCTTCTAACCCAAAAGAGATGTTTTAGTATAAGTTCATGATGTAATATACTTTGACCAAATACAATAATCATAGCATCTTCATATTTCCATAAAAGGAAATGAATTGCAATTTTCTAATTCATCAAATGGATGTTACAGCAAAAACAGACTTATGATGCATATGAACAAAACGTGTTGCAGGAGATTACATCACGAAATGGGAATTGAATATTTCTAAAATACTGTGCTCGAACATTTTATTTTCCTTGTCAAATGTGGAATTATGCCACATTTGTTGTTTGTTTGTTTTAAAGTAATAGTACGCTTGCATTGGTAGACAGACATACATTATACACATTTATTGATATATTATCTATCCTCCTGCCAATTTATTTTCAAATACACATGCTCTTTATCGCTTATATATATGTGTGTATGTATACCTGTATATATACACCATTTATCTATACTCTTTCTTTATCTCGGACTCTCTGAACACATATACACTTATGTATGCATATATGTTTGTGTGTTTGTGTGAATGTGTATGCATGCATACATATATATGTATGTATTCATATATACATATATATCAATGCGTATATATACATTTATAAATATATAAAAAAATATATATGTGTATATATGTACCTATATATACTTATACATAGACATACACATGTATATATATATATATATATATATGTATTCTATATATGTGTATATACACATATATGTTTATATATACACATAAATAAATATATATATATATATATATACAAATTAATGTACCTAAATACAATTATACACAGACGTGTATATATGTATTATATATATATATGTATATATACATATATATTCATGCATACACATATATAAATATGTGTATGGATATTTCTGTATATGCGTGTTTGTACATATACAGTCGCATACATATTTACAGCCATTAATAAATGCATACATACCCTGTATATTTATGTAAAAAATGTATGTATATATGTATAAACATATATATAGAGAGAGATTTATATATTTACATACACTCACACACGTATAAACAAATATTTCTCCATCCTTCCCCATCTCTTTATTTCTCTCTCTCTCTGGTCATATATATGTATATATACATATAAATATATGTTTGTATACATATACGTACAAACATGAATATACGTCTATGTATACATATATGCACATAGAAATATACACGCATTCATACACAGTCATATATAGATACATACATGCCTCTCTCTAAATATTTCATACGCACATGCACACATTCACACAAACATATATATATACATATATGCATACAGTATATATGCATACATATATATACATATATAGTGTTTGTATATACACACGCACACTCACATGCACCCATACAGAGACACACGCACACTCGCATACACATGTAGAAACACACCCACAGAAATATATGTATGTGTGTATGTTTGTGTGTGTGATTGTGTGTACATGCGTACATACATATATGTATCTATAAACATACATGTATTTGTATATTTACGTATATATACCTAAAGTATATAGGTAAAGTATATATATATACTTACATATAAACATATACATATGTATATATATATATATATGTGTGTGTGTGTGTGTGTGTTAGCAAAATTAAATATATAGAAGATTTATATATATGACACAAACACAATCACAGTAACGTGTACATAAAGATGAAAGGAAAACTGCCACAGTAAGAAATGAAATTGAATTGTAACGTTCTGAACTCTTCACGAGTACCTCTTCAGACGAATGTTAAACCAAAAACGGATCCATTTTGTGTATATATATAACACTTTGATTGTAAGGCAGATAAACATTTTAATTCATATAACGGATTATGATTGTATAGACTGACCAAGTAAGCATCGTACCTTGATTACATGAATACTATCCTCATTCACATATCGTACAGGTGGAAACCACTCCCGTTCGGACTGATCAAGGTAAAGGTCGGTTAGAGGCGACAAGGGGTGGGGCGGAGGGTGTGTCTTTCCCAGGTACAGAGTATAAAAGCCAACACCGGTATTCGTAGTATCACATTCGATCTACCTCTACTATCATGTTCACTAAGGTGAGTGTATTTCACGTTATACAATTCTTTTAAAATACATCATTGTTTTATGTAAACTCATATATAAACACACATGTATATAAATTCACTCACACAAACGTATGTATTTTCCCCTTAGTCAATTTGTTAAGGTAAATATGTACATATGTTCAGACTTTTATATTTAATTCCAGACCGTTGTCGCTCTCGCCCTTGCGGCTGTCACCTTGGCTGCTCCTTCACAGCCTTCCTACGGATATGCTCCCCCTGCAACCTATGACGTAAGGAATACTTGCATATATCAGTGTCTATGTAAGTATTTCAATAATTAAACCATTTTTATTGTCTGTATTCGAAGTATACTAATTCTACTTTCCTTTAGGCCCCCGCTAAGTACGACTTTAACTACGCCGTTAAAGACGACTATTCTGGAAACGACTTCGGTCACCAGGAGACTCGTGATGGATACGATACTCAGGGATCTTACTACGTCCTTCTTCCCGACGGTCGTCTGCAGAAAGTCGCCTACACTGTCAACGGCGACTCTGGCTACGTAGCCGAGGTCAGCTATGAAGGTGAGGCCCAATACCCCGAATACAAGCCTGCTCCTGCTTACAAGCCAGCCCCTGCCTACAAGCCAGCCCCTGCCTACAAGCCTGCCCCAGCCTATGCACCCGCTCCTACCTATGCTTAAATGACTATGGATGTATTTATAATGAACATAATTTATTAAATATAAATTTCCTTACTATATAATTCTATATATTTCAAACCCCCAAAAAGCAATTTTATGATAAGTTCATGATTATATATACAGTGACTAAATGTAATAATGGCTACATCTTCATATTTCCATAACAAGAATTTTAAAAATATATATTCATCAAATGATGTTACAGGAATAAAAGATTAATGGTGCATATAATCAAAAGGTGTTATGGGAGATTTCATCACGAAATGGGAATAGAATATTTCTAAAACACCATGGCATTGATACTTGGGATATTCGAACATACTGTGTTCATTGTCAGATGTGGAATTATGCTACATTTCGTTTTACTTAAACTAACCGTACACCTACATTCGTAAATAGATATGCATTACACACTTATAAATACATTAAATATATTTGTTCAATCGCTTATGTATGTGTGTATATATGTATATGTGAGTGTATGTATGTATATATGTATACATATATACATTTATGAATATGAATACACATGCTCTGTCTTTATCTTGAACTCTCTGAACACATACACACTCTTATGTATATAAACGTGTATATAAATGTGTGTGTATACATGCATGAATACAAACATATGTATGCATATATACACATATATGTATATATATGCATATATGTTTGTATATAAATAAAGAATATGTATGTATATATATATGTACATTTATATGAATATGAATAGACATATGTATGTTTCCTCTATATATGTATACATACATTTAAATAACACATACAAACTCATATATATATACAACATATAAACGCATACGTATATACATTCACCTATGTACATATATGTATATATATACGTATGTACATATATGTATATATATACATATGTACATATATGTATATATATACATATGTACATATATGTATACATATGTATATATACAAATATATATGTATAGATTTATATGTATGTTCATACCCTCGCACACGTATAAACTCTCCCCTCCCCCCCCCCTATCTCTATCTTTTTTTCTATCTCTCTCTCTCTGGTCATATATATATACGCACAAAAATATACATATATACATATACATATGTATGAACAAATATATATATATACATATGCATATGTATGTCTTTATACATATGAATATGTTTGTATACACACAACACATACACACTCACAAACATGTCTATACCTCTATACATACATATATGCATATAGAAATATACATGCATTCATAGTCACAAACATATATACATGTATATATATATATATAAATATATCAGTATGTATATATACACACATATATAGATATATATATACAGTATATATAAAGATATATATACATATATACATACACACGCGCGCACTCACATACAAAGACACACATACACACAGACACAAACGCACACATGGAAATATATGTGTATATATACATATACATGTATATGTATATCTACATATACATGATACATACAGATATATGTGTGTGTGTGCATGTGCGTATGTATGCATGCCTACATATACATATATATGTGTGTAGGCATATGTACACATATATATGTATGGTTTTTACATTGTGGGTTTTTCTACCATAGTATCAACACGGTAGAGTGTTTTCATCATTCATGTATATATATATATATATATATATATATATATATATATATAAGTATGCATATATACATACATATATATGTGTATATATATACATAGGGAATATTCAAATATATGTATATATCTACGCACACACACATATACATATATATACATAGACATATACATTTATATACATGCCTATATATATTCTTTACATACAGTATACATGCATATATACATACATATATTAATGTATATACATAAATTATACACACACATATATATGTGTGTGTGTATCTATCTTCCTGCTTATGCTTGTATATCCATATACATACAAACACATACACATTTAGTCTTCCAAAAATGTATGCATATTATGTATATGACAACATATGGATATAAATACATATATATAGTCTATTCATATGTATAAACATACACTTGCACATAACATATATACATACACACGCGCGCACTCACATACAAAGACACACATACACACAGACACAAACGCACACATGGAAATATATGTGTATATATACATATACATGTATATGTATATCTACATATACATGATACATACAGATATATGTGTGTGTGTGCATGTGCGTATGTATGCATGCCTACATATACATATATATGTGTGTAGGCATATGTACACATATATATGTATGGTTTTTTACATTGTGGGTTTTTTCTACCATAGTATCAACACGGTAGAGTGTTTTCATCATTCATGTATATATATATATATATATATATATATATATATATATATATAAGTATGCATATATACATACATATATATGTGTATATATATGCATAGGGAATATTCAAATATATGTATATATCTACGCACACACACATATATACATATTGTGTGTGTATCTATCTTCCTGCTTATGCTTGTATATCCATATACATACAAACACATACACATTTAGTCTTCCAAAAATGTATGCATATTATGTATATGACAACATATGGATATAAATACATATATAAGTATATTCATATGTATAAACATACACTTGCACATGCATAAACAAATATTTCCCTTTCCTTTCCCACCATTACTCTTTCTTTCTTTCCCTTTCTGTCTCTTTCTGGTCATAGATATATGCTTGTATGTACACACATATGCTTATACATATATGCATATATATATATATTTTTTTTTTTTTCTTTTTAACAAAATTTAATATACAGAAGCTTTATATGTGTATACATACACACACATATATAAAGAGAAAAAATTGTATATATATTCATACATAAAGATAGACAAAATACAGATATGGATATATGAAATACAGAGATGGATAGACGCTTGTGTGAGAAAAAGACATAAACATTTTAATTCATATATCGGGTCCATATTGTACAAGTTGACCAGGTAAGCATCGTATCTTGATTACGGGGATACTATAGAGGCCATCCTCATTCACACATCGTACAAACGGAAACTACTCCCGTTCAGATTGATCAAGGTAAATGTCGGTTAGAGGCGAGAAGGGGAGGGGCGGAGGGGTGTGTCTTTACCAGGTACAGAGTATAAAAGCCATTATCTCGGTATTCGAAGTATAAAATTCGATCTACCTCTCCCATCATGTTCACTAAGGTGAGCGTATTTCACGTTTCACAACTCTTTTAAGATGCTTTTCATCATTACTATGTAAACTCACCCACACATGTATAAATACAAGCACACAATAAACTCACCCACACACTGTGTATAAATGCAGGCACACATATATTTGTAAAAGCAATATACATTTGTTCAGTCTTCTGTGTTTAATTTCAGGCCGTCATCGCTCTCGCCCTTGTGGCCGTCACCTTTGCAGCTCCTTCACAGCCTTCCTACGGATATACTCCCCCTGCAACCTATGACGTAAGGAATACTTGCATATAGCAATGTCTATATAAGTATTTCAATTATTAAACCATTTTGATTATCTGTATTCAACGTATATTCATTATACTTTTCTTTAGGCCCCCGCTAAGTACGACTTTAACTACGCCGTTAAAGACGACTATTCCGGAAACGACTTCGGTCACCAGGAGACCCGTGACGGATACGATACTCAGGGATCTTACTACGTCCTTCTTCCCGACGGCCGTCTGCAGAAGGTCGCCTACACTGTCAACGGCGACTCTGGCTACGTAGCCGAGGTCAGCTATGAGGGTGAGGCCCAATACCCCGAATACAAGCCTGCTCCTGCCTACAAGCCAGCCCCTGCCTACAAGCCTGCCCCTGCCTACAAGCCTGCCCCAGCCTATGCACCCGCTCCTAACTATGCCTAAATGACTGGTTCTATTTAAAGTGAACATAATTTATTAAACGAAAATTCCATCACTATATACTAGTACGTCCTAACCTAAAAATAAATAGATAAATAAATAAATAACAATAAAAATAAGTTATGATGAAATGCACTTTGGCCAAATGCAATAATCGTAGCATCTTCATATTTCCATAAAAGGAAATGGATTGGAATTCCTTGATTCATTAAAGTGAAATTACAACAATAATGGAGTAGCGATGTATATAATCAAAAAGTGTTGCGGAGATTACATCACGAAATAGGAATTTAATATTTCTAAAATACCCATGCCATTGATACTAGTATGGATATTCTAGCATTTTAGACATGCCTAAATTTAACTTGATTGCGGGTCAATGGGGCTTGGATGACCATACCTCCTCGGTAGTTAGCAAAGCCTTCCCTAGATTCTTCGACCTTGACCCTCCTCCTGAGACCTGATTCAGCTCTTGTTCGTTCTGTCTCTCAACCACTACATATTCTTGTCAAAATTCTCTCCTATCCATTTTGGAATATCATTCGTCTGAAGAGGAACTCGTGAAGAGTTAGAAAGGTTACGAATCAATTTCATTTCTTACTGTGGCTGTTATCCTTTCATCTCTGTGTACAAGTTACTGTGTGTTTGTGTCATGTATATGCATATATGAATATATATATGCATTTTTAGATGTATATATACATATATTTGCATATATAAACATATATACACACAGTTATAGCTATACGAAAATTCTTTATTTCAGATATTCGAGTTACTTTATTTACTTTCTTTTCTTTCTTCCACAGATTTATTCATATATATATATATAATGCACACATTTACCCATGTATGTTAATTTATCTATCTATATATTCAAACATTTGAATGCATATGTACATGTCTGTGTATGCTCGTATATATGTGACATATACGTATATGATATACATGTATATGTATATATATATGTTTGCATGTATTATCTATATATACACATATGTGGCTGTGCGTATGTGCTAAATGTATGCAAAACATGTTTGTATATATACACTAATACATTCATTAAACTAGTCGTTCTTTTTTAATTCTCATGCATATTGTGACTTCTGTCTGTGAACACGGTAAGGGACAAGTCAAT